TATACGTGGAAGTCAAAAATTAATAAAGTTAAAAAAATATAATCTTTAAAATAGAAACTATAACCGTCTTTCTCTTCAGCTACAGCGCTATTGTGTCACTTATGAAACTCTTACTTCTTTCGAAAACGCATCGAACATTATTTTTTTTGTATATATGCTCTACTAGTGCATACTGTGTTTATCGACACGGAGTCCTCTTGATGTCCGTCTCTCGAAAATCGCGCGATTTATTTTGGAACGATTTTTCCTTTTCACTTTCATTCGTTTCACGCAATTTTCACGAAACGGCGAAGATCTCTGAAAATTATTAATTTGAGCGTTACATCTCTCATATAAGTCCTCAAATGACTTTCCTAAAAACCGACCTATCACATTTAAGTAAATACATGACGAAAAAGTGTTCTTGTCTCTAGCTTATTATGAATTTATCATATTCTATTTTCTCTCTTTAATTGTCCATTAAGTGCTTTATAAATAATTTCGCAAATTATGAACCTTCGAAAATACCTTGAACGAATGTCGCAGTCGCGTTTGAGTAAATACTATCAGAATTTAATATATGAAAGTCACAAATGATATTTAATACATAGTTCAAATTTTGTATCTTTAATTATTTCTTAAATATCCCGTACAGATAATTACCGGATTCTCTCTATTCTCTTATCCATTCATAATATAATAATTATAATTTATTAATTTACGATCTTTTACGGGTAGGGTCGCTTAACACATCGAATTAAATATAATTTCTCCATATTCGAAGCTAATTTTACAAGTATACATATGTATCTTAGATAAAATATAGTAATATAGCAACAAAAATAGGCTTCGAAATCGAAGATTAATGAGCGCAATTATTCAATAGGTTCTAATATACAAGATTGATAAATTAATATAATTTACAGATATAAATAATTGCTATTTACAACCATTAATAAAATATTTGTTATAAGCAATTAATGAATACATGAATAAATAAGATCTATCGAATATTGAGAGATTATTGTAAATATTTGGTAACAAGATAGATCGAAGTTACTTCTAAATTATAAAACGTAAACAAAAAATTTGTCAAGATTCTTTCTACATGATATTGAATTAAATAATACGCATTATGCTATAATTTTCTTTCGCTAATTATAGCGTAACGAGTGATTTTTTATTACAAAACGTGTATGCAATCTAAATGTACGTGATAATATACTTTATTATATTTGCGTTTTTGATAAGTGTTTTCTAGATGGTTTTATGATAACGATATTGTGGAATTCTTCTTGAATTGTGCGAATAATTGCATGCGATATACGAAACCAAATGCACTTCTGAGAAAATGAGATCTTAGTTATAGGATTATATAATAACTACAATTATTTTTTCTCAGTTAAAAGAACGTTAAATAAACTTACGGAAGAATTATAATACTTAAGTATAATTAATATGATTTTTCAGCATCAAAAACTATTTTCCAGTATCTATTTTCCATTAAATCGTATTTTTTTAATTTAATGATAAGACAATCCAGATTTTTTATCTCAAATTTTGAGAAACGATTATACTTATGTTTTTTCGTATGTCACATTACTGATTGTTTTAAATAAGTAAGCATGAATTTTGCATGAATAATTTATAATATGATACTTCCTAGATGTAATTATTCATTGATATAATGCTTTTACTTTATTATAAGACTTTGCAGATTTTAAAACAATTCAAAATAATTTTTTTAATTCTTAGAACAATATTTAACTCTAATTGAATCTTCTACAAAATATAGAATATTGTAACTTATTGTTAGTGCAAGCGAATAAAATGAATAATTTATGCGGAGAATGTAAATTAAAAGAATATATATTATAAAATATCTATAAGAACTAACACTAGATGGTCATATGCATACATTCTCGCATAACAATTTGACTCTTGATTTGGATTATTTTCAGTACATATTGCGTTCAGATATAATAGTAAAAATTGCATAAAATATGAGGTATTATAATGAAAAATACTATGATAATTCTTATTACTTTTTATTATTATGCTTCACACACATATTTTATGCGATGTTTACTATTGAATTTTATATACTGAGGTTGATGCAATTCGAGAGTCGAAATATTTATTGCTATATGAGAATGAATTTATGTACATATATAATCTAGTGTTGTTACATCTAGTCACATCTAGTGTTGACTTTTAAAGGTATTTTAACGTAAGTTACATATACGCAAGTTGCACACTTTGGTGCTAATAATAGAACTGTAAGATAAATATTGTAAAGTGTGGAATATAAAAGCTGGAAAGAGAGAATAGGAATAGTATTGCACATAATAGAAATTATCTATCGATGAAACGGATATTATAAACAGTAAATAAGTTGCAAGTTATAAGATGAACTTGTTATTGCCATTACATAATAAAAACATATTTTTTTCGATTTGCTTGCACAAGAGTTTTTCTTTATCGAGTTTATATTCGTTATCGTGACGATTTTATCTTGTGCAGTTTATCTCGAATAAAGTAAAATAGCAACATTAACTCTTGGAATCAATCTTGCGGAATATTCTTGGCTGAAGCTCGAATAGTTGAGTCATAATTTGCATATCATCCTAGATCGCTTGACAGTATTTAAAAATTTACAGTTTTACATTAAAAGAAATAAAAATTATTTTGAAACTTGTCAAGCGCAATTATTGTCAAATATCAAATGGCATAATTAAATGAAGAATTACTTAACAATTTTTTACAACGCATTATTATATGGATAAATTAATATGTTTTTATGGTACAGTAAAACGAAAAGTTTTAAAAAATATGAAATTATTTTTATCTCTTAAAATATATTATATAAAAACGATCATAAAATATTATACAAGTTAAAAATTTGTAGCTTCTAAAGCTTCACTTAAAGATATTAATATGTCCATTTAGACATATTGTATTTTTATAAGCACACATGTACTTTTCTCATAATGACGTTAATGATTATAATGCATGCTCACGACAATCTCAGTTTTGATACAATATCATTTATCTTTTTCTGATAATTTATATATATCAGTTTCATGAAACGATTCAGTGTCCCAACTCTGTTTGCTTTTACATAAATATAATTGTATTGAAACAATAAATCGAAGCTGCCTATACATATATGTATAATTGAACTTCCAGTTACCGCGCAAGGTTCGAATTAATTCAATATTTCTGTCACATAAAATATTTCTGATGCGTACTTCCAATTCAATATCGTCAATCTGTTCGTCATATTTTGCAAAATATGATATTACGTTTCCCCACGCGACAGATATCGCCGAGTATACGGCGTGTGGATATCGATTAAACGATACATCTGATAGCACGTTCGTCAAACATCACTTTTAATTAAACGGGGTTGAAAGCGGACCCTTTATTGTAGCTGGCAGTACGGCTACTTTTGTACGCAGATAGAATTCGTATGACGTCAGAAAGTTAAAAAGCTTTTCGCTTTTTCGAGATCCGCTAGAAAAATCGATGACACACATATACATAATATCTTATAATCGTATATCGTGTATTTATATACGTATATCGTGTACATTATAGAAAGTTTAGCAAATATAAGTGGCCGAATTAAGGAGACATTTCTTTCGGACCCTAAAATTCTTTATTAGTATCGTCTTAATCCTAAGACTTTTCACAAGGCTTCGCGTTACAATCATTTTTACTTTCTCACGCTATTGCGTGTACTACGATTGAAAATTTTCTTCTCCTAAAAATCACCTGATTAATTTTACTCTACCTTTCCGCAGTATACAAATTTATTATCATTTAAAATTATTTCTAATTTCTGCACATTTTTTTATGCAGAAAAACGTGCGTCTGAAATTTCATTCACTAATTAGAATTTTGAAGACATTATTTACGTTTTTGAGATACTTGTTAAATTTTTATCAAATTCTTAATTTCGTAGGAACTTTTAAAGAAATTTATAAAGAGAGTATATAAGAATTTTCTATTTTTTTTTTAATAGTTTATAAATTTTTTTCTCCTTAACTTGCCAGTGAGATACGTATTTTCTTCTCTGTATATATATATATATAT